GATGTACCGGATCGGGCCAGGTGGGGCTCACGCGTCCAGCGGTAGTACAAGTATAAGTTGAGGATGGACAGGTCGATCACACTCCACTTTTGAGTGTATCAAACACTAGCACGGCTTGCTGCCAGAGCATCGGGCTTGAGAGACACTTGGCTTTATTTATAGTTAGCTCCAAAAAAGGCCAGATAAAAGATGCCTCCCACCGTAGAGCTCAGGACCCTGTTCGGCAGACTGCTGCCGGGCAACATGGCCTTGGACGGCCGGTGAAGGCGAGCGTGGAGGGCTGATGATGCGCTCGGGTTCAGGAGGAGAGTACTCATCGCCGGTGCTGTCCTCTCTATCCGATAATGACACATTGGAGCCAGATGAGGAGGTGCTGCTGGTTGAGGCAGAACGTCTAGGCACACGGGCACGGGGTGGCCTGCGGCGGGGCAAACACCGATGGGTGGCGAGGGGTTGATCCGGAGAGGTCATTGGATGGACCTCCACTTCAGAATGCTGATGATAGGCCCGATCATGCAAAGGGATATCTGGAGAAGTCGGGGGATCCACATGTATGCTCTCCCGGTGGAGCATGCGAGTGAACGCTGCAACTTGAGAGGTGGTGCGCAGGGATCTGACCGGCTCAGGGTGCCACTCAGCATAGGCAAAAAGCACTGGGGTGGCCTGTGTTTGCACTGTCCTGGGGGTGTCGACAACTGACATGGGTGCTGCATATATGTCTGTCATGAGTACCCAGCTATGGGGGTAAAGAAAAGGGCTTACTCGGTGGAGTCGAAGCCCGTGGAGCAGGAGAAGCAATTGCATTCTCTGTGAGGGTAAAGCCGCCTGCAGAACTAAAGCGGTGGAAGACATCAAGGAGAGCAGCAGTGGACAGGCTGCGTGATGCCTTATCCTGCACATATGGGGCAGGCTGTTTCACAATATGACTGCTACCAGGACCACAATGGCTCCAGTCAACATCCATTTGGTCGACAAGGGCCGCATAGTCGATAGGAGTTGAATCAAATAGGCCACCCAGAGAGGAATCACCGTAGTGGTTGTCCTCGAGGGTCAGATCGAGTGTGGACTGTGACATAGCTATTCAGGGGCGTGTGAGCGGTCTGCAAAATTGCACAAAGAGAACACATACACATAGCTGCACAATTCAAGGGGGAGGGAAAACACAGCCCTCCTAAGTGCCCTTCTTATATACTGCCACTGCCAAGAGCACACATTGATGGGAGGACAAATTAATGTGGCCGGGCATCTTTATTGGGATTAAGGCTGGGCACGGGTCCGGATCACCTCACGGGTAGACCCGCACCAACCCGCACCCCAACCTGTGAACTCGGATCCCCCGGATCACGGATATCCGTACGCACAGATAGGGATGGATCTGGGTGAAGGCATGTGGAAAGATGTGATCCGAAACAGGTCATTCAATAAAAGAGACACAAAATGTTGTTCAATGACATGGCCTATGACACTGTTGTATACCGCTATAGCTACCGTATCTAAGGGCATCTATGGTACATGTACTGAGGGGCAGTCAGATCTGGAGCCTACGGACACAAGACTGGGGATAGAGCTGTTATCGGTACTGTACAACTTGCTATCCGAACCTTTACCGAACCCATCTGTGGCGCCTTCGCCGTCGTCCGAGGACGCGTCATTGTCAAAGGAACGCGCAAACTGTAACTCATCAGCCAGATGCAATGCCCTAATGGCAGCCGTGAGAGAGCGCGGTGCATCACCCCCACGCGCGCTGCCGCTGGAGGCGGGACCGGTGGCTGAGCTCGCCGACGCACTGTCAGCGTTGGAGGGACCTGGAGCGCTGCCGGGTGAAGTGCGAGTGCCAGATATGTTGTGAGCATTGGTGTCGAAGACGCTCTAAAGGTGCCCATTTAGTACAAGTCCGAGAAAATCAGTGTAAATTGTACTCACAGCCGGCAGGTTCACGTTGAGCCAGCCTACGAGCTTAGCGAGCTTGTCATCCGCACGTTCGAGAGGGTGTAGCTCGTGGGCGGCGAGTACAAGGTGTGCAGCAAAGAGATAGAAGTCATCACGATCCACGCCCGGATGCCCGAGCGCAAACGCGCGGTACATGAGGATGATCGCGACCAGACTCTCCAGCTGCTCGTCTGAGGCCCCACACTGCGTCCAGAATGGACCGTGCGCGAAGTGCAGCCACACCTCGATCTGAGCCTGAGTGACTTTGGTACACTCATCGGTGGGGAACAGGAGCTACAAATGGTTTGATTAGTAAAGGAGGGCATATGAGGTGTTATCCACGGCTCACCGTGAGAGCGTTAGTTGGCCCATAGATGAGCATCACAACGAACGGAATAGGTTCCGAGTTGTCGTGCTTGTCGGGCATCGTGCTGGCCGATGTAGAGTCGATGCGCAGATAGATGTCAGCACCATCGCCCTCCGCGTCGTACATGGGTGGGGGTGCGGTGGTGTGAGTGGACATGCGTGGCGGCCGGTTGCGCAACGTCTGAGAGGACGAGTTT